CACATATGGTAATACTTGCTTGAAAAAAATACTGTGTGATGGCTGAAGATTTGAGTGCCATCAAATATTTCTCCACATTCCTTATCTTCACAGTATCTTTCCAAATCAGTATCTACTTGATGACTGTCATCTGTCCTAAGTGTTTACTGTTTCCTTCTACTTCAACTGATGCCTATGCTGCCATTTTTGCAATCATGGGGAGCCAGAGAGGCATGCAAACTGAGTTGCTTCAGAAAGGCCTACCTTGCCCAGCTGGTGTTGCTCAGTGGTTGATCGTTGACTCATGAACCAAGCGGTCACCAGTTCAATTCCCGGTCAGGGTACATGCCTGGGTTGTGGGCTCAACCCACAGTAGAAGGTGTGCAGGAGGCAGCCAATCAATGATTCTCTCTCATCGATGTTTCTATCTGTCCCTCTCCCTTCCTGTCTCTCTAAAAATCAATAAAACTTAAAAAAAAAAAAAAAGGGCTAGCTTTCTATTCATTCCCAGTTTTCTGCATTAAGCAGAGGCACAGCTATAGCAGTGTTGGGGGAGAAAGAGAACAATGCAAGAGATGGCTGTCTCCTGTAGCAGTAAAATATGCCATTCCAAACATCTATGATTAACATCACAAGGAAAACAAAACCTCTAATTTCCACCCTTCAAATATCTATGCCTTACCAGGCTCCTCCATGTCATTGGATAATGCCAAGGTCCTTCTTTATTGCATTTTAAGAATGATACAGAAAAAGAATGTATGTGGTAAATATACACATAACAAAGGCTAGTCACAGGAAATCCCTGGAAGCCTTTACCTATGAGGGATTATCAGCAGGTTCCTCTTTTGCCCCCTTGATCAATTACCTAGCCCCACTGAATCTACCTATGAGTAGGGAGCAGCCCCAAGCCAGCTTCTCCCCAACTCTGCTGCTCCTCTGTCAGGCCAAGTATCATCTCTTCCTCAGATGCCACCATGGCCCCCTGCCTGCTTGCAACTACTCTCCCACAGTTCTTTCTTCTCAAGCCCCCACAGTGAGCTGTGAAAAGCCACACACACACCTGCTCATTGAAAATCAAACCACCCCCAAAGTGGAGGCCCTGTGTGCCCTTCTGAACTTCAGTTGCATGTCAATACACCTGTTACCTGCCTCCTACCCATTGGGTGACTTCCTGTTCCCTGAATATGCCAAGCTTGTTCCATTCTCAGTCACCTCAAACCCTGTCTCCATGCCTGGAATTTGTCTTCACCACCACTTTTTTTTTTTTTAATCCTCACTTGATATTTTTTTTCATTGCTTTTCAGAGACAGTGGAAGGTAGAGAGAAAGAGAGAAACACTGATGTGAGAGAGCCTCCCACATGTGCCCTGACTGGGCCAGGGATCAAGCCTGTAACTGAGGTACGTGCCCGTGGCTGGAATCAAACCTGGGACCCTTCAGTTCATGGGCCGCCACTCTAACCACTGAGCAAAACTGCTAGCACTCTTCACCGTTCTCACAAGTCTGCAGAATTCTTTTTCAGGAATCCGCCTAAATCTCACCCCTGCAGTGCCCTGACCACCTCCTCTAGAGTAATTCCCCACTGCTCCTGCTTTACACCACACTCTTTTCCCTCAGTATGTACCACTATTTATCTGTACAACATGATTACACCTGTGTAACTTGTTTGCAGAAGGTTGTAACTACCTGACTATAAGTCTACAATGGTAGCAATTATGTCAGGTCTTTGTTCCACTACCAGAGTGTTCAGTATAGTGCACAGGACACAGGCAGACTTCCACAGGTGTTTGTGAGGTGAAGGGGAAGCAGGGGGAGAAACATGACAGAAAGGACTGATAGAGAAGAGATGAGCCAGGCGCCTATCACCTCAGGCCTGGCCAGAGGGTAGTGTCCTGGTGAACCTCCGTGCACATGGTCTCTGCTTTAGACACCATCCCTAAATCTCCCGTACCTCAGCATGTGAACTACAAGCGCCCACTGTCTCCCATGGCAACTAGAGTCAGGAAACTACTGCAGGCTGGAAGGTTTGGCCCCTCAGGATATGGGACTTAAACTCCAGGGAGGATGACACATACCTGACACAGCCAGAGCCACAAAGATGGGAAGAGACATTAGGAGGCAGGATCAAGGGTCCAACCAGGGGGAACAGGAACCATGGTGGGCACATATAAAGTACTTGTGTTGCTGGGGACTTTCCAGGTCAGATCTAGTTTAGTGACCTGTTCTAATGGGTAAAATGGAAGTTTTCAATGTAGAGAATGAAAGGAATGACTCAGAATATGGAAAACAAAACATTAATGCTGAGCCACTCATGCTGAAACATGGTGTCCAGAAAAAGGGGGCAAAGAGTTGCAGGGACTCCAGTCTGTGTTGTGGTGAACAGGTCATCACCAAAGACGGGAGCTAGGCACAGATTCCACAGCTGAACACTGCCAGCTCCTATGAAAGCTGCAGCTGAACATAGGGAAGGAAGAATATCAAAAGTTTTCTTTACTGAGCCAGCACACTGATATAAAAGATGACAAAGACAGCAGACACAAAGAAGAAAACCACTCACCTCCTCAACTTAAGCTATGAATACTGATGTAGAAGTCCTAAAAAATGCCGCTGGATGCCAGCACCACATTACAACGGTGCTTCAATGTTTATTATGTCACTGTCTTGACTGTTCAAAGGAGAAAATCCCTATGATCACCTTGGAAGGTTTTGAAGGGGTAATTGGGGCTACTGATTTTTGTTTATTAGAAAGTACCAGGTAACTATCCAGATAAAAACTGACTTGAATCAGTTCAATTAAGCATCATGGTCATCAAAACCCAGATACTTTCCCACTTAAGTCAGAGACCACTCACTCTTCACATTCTCTTTCACAGTGTTTTGGAAGTACCAGTTGTGACTAATGTGCTTACATGACTGCTCAGAAGTAGTCAAGTAAATAAGTAAATAAATGCGACTGCCTTGCCCTCATACTTGCTGATAAAACGACTTTGTACTGAGAAAATTAATGAAGAGAATTTAGCTGCATGACAGGTTCATGGAACTATGGAAGACCACAAGGGAGGATTAACCTGAGTGATGACATCAGCTGCAACGAAAGACCAACAGTACTGGCAAGGCCTGACGTAGCAGTGAGGCCAGATCCCGCTTTGTACCCTTGTGTCAAAAGTCGAATAGAAACACCTGTTATGTGAGAAGGGATTGCTAAATCCAACCAAATCTAATTCATGTTCTAACAAGATTTTCTCAAAGAACCCTGCTAAACTAATGGTTCATCTGGCAAATTAGGTGGTTAAGAACAGCTAAGAGTATAGTATATTTCTATTAATGAGAAGAACTACCATTTTTCCAAGTTTGTTATAAATTAAGTACTTATAAAGTTACAATAAGCACAGCAACATGGTGTTTACTCAGATCAAGAAGAGACCAAGAAGGCCTACACTCTATGACTGCGGGAATATAGTCCATGATAGCCTTGGCCTGTGTGGCTCAGTGGTTAGTGTTGGCCCATGCACCAAAGGGTCTTGGGTTTGATTCCCAGCCAAGGGCATATACCTGGGGTGCAGGTTCGATCCCTGGACCCAGTTGGGGCAGGTGTAGGAGGCTACCAATTGGTGTCTCTCTCACATTGATGTTCTCTCCCCCTTCCTTCCATTCTCTCTAAAAATCAATGAGGAAATATCCTCAGGTGAGGATTAACGACGACAAAAACCTAGTCCATGATAAACACTGTTTCCAGTAAGTGGAAGAACCTAGTCAGAGAATGGGTATTGAAAGAACTTGTGTCCTACACCATATGCATGAAGAAATGCCAGATAAATAAAACATCCAGCTAAACAAAAAGACTACTAGAAAACAAAAAAGTACTTGTACAATCTGCCTATGTATGATACGAAACCTAGAATAGGAATATTTTATTGTGTTAGTCTATTTGCAATGTTAACATCTATAATATATAGGTGCACCAAAAGGGGGGGGATAACCTGAACTCACAAAAGAAAAAATACATATGCTGCATCACGAACTTATAAAAATATGTAATTTGATAAGGGAAAAGTGAACTCAACTCAACATATCTTTTCCTATTAGACATATAAACCTTGAAAAAAAACCACTACAAAGCACTGGCAATTAAAAGGAAAAAGTAGCTCTCATGTTCTTGAGCAGCTACATGTATTTTAAAAGATTTTAGACAACAATTTGTTGCTACCAGATTTTCAGTTTACATCTTGGTTGATTCTGAAGTTCCATTTCTAGAAACCCTAACCTACAAAAAACCCCAACTTGAATGTGCAAAATAAAAGGATGCAAGGAAGTTTTTTGCAGCAACCTGAATGTCCACCAAGAGAAAAAAATTAAATATGGACTACACTACATCTGTTACAAAGCAGCAGACCTATGTTAAGAACACCCCAAAATATAAATATACACAGATGCCCCTCCACTTAGGATGGGGTTACATCCCAATAAACATATCCTAATTTGAAAATATCCTAAGTTGAAAATGCAGTTAACCCAGACTACCCTAAACGCACTCAGAACACTTACATTAGCCTACAGCTGGGCAAAATCATGTAGCACAAAGCCTGCTTAATAGTGTTGAACACTGTACTGAAAATGACAAACAGAAAGGTTGTATGGGTATCGCTTTCACACCACTGTAAAGTCAAAAAATTATTTTGAACTGTCAAGTTGGAGACAGTGTATTCATAAACATATATGTAAACACGGAAAAAAAAGTCTGGACAGAAACACATCAGTTAGTGGTGGTTATATGAGGGGAGGGCAGTCGACGAGGAGTGCAGCTAACCTACCACCAGTAACAGGTTCATGTTCAACCAAGCAGTACATCCCTGACCGAGGCCAGAGGAAAACCAGGCCAGGGCTTGATTCAGCGTGTCCGCAGCCACTCACCACAGCACCCCACCTAGAGTTTCCTCTGTCCACCTGATTTTTTAAGACACCAGTCCTTGACCAACCAGTCAGCCCATTCCCTGCTGGGACTCCCACGTGCCTGGTTCTCACCTGAAAAGGTGTCTTGAGGAATTCCTCTCTCCACCGACCAGAGCTCTTCCTCCTCCTCTAACTGAGATACCACATCTGGTTTGGAAAGCTGATGTTCTGCCCAAGGGAAAAGAGACAGGGCTTGGGGGTGGGGGTCTGTGAAAGGAAGAAAATGCGTCCCTGCTCTGGCCCATGCTGTCCCCTAGGGGAACATGACTTCTGGTCTAGGGCAGTGATAAGCCACCCATCGCCATTGTGTGCGGCTTGCTTTCCTGGACTCCCTTGCTGGTAAAGGTGGCAGTGGGACTGAGTTCTGGCCAGCAAGTCATAAACGCATTTTCTTTTTTGCTAAATACGATAGCTGTGAAAACAGCACCAGCCTAGACTGCCCCCTCCCCTTCTTTCTGCTTTTCACAGGGACGTGATGCTTGGTGCCACAGTGATGCAGTTACCAAGCTAAGAATGGAAAATTTCACACAGACCGCAGAGAAGGGAGGGATCAGGGTCTGTGACGCCACCCTGAGCTGCTGAACAGACACCACCTCCCTGGTATTCACTCTGAGGAGCGGACTAGGTGATGCTTCAGGAGTCACATGTGAAGGTGCCCTTTCCCCATGGCTACAAAGGAAAGCCCTCTCCCTCAAGCTCCAAGGCCTTGACCCTTGCGCTCTAACCCCTTCAGGCTGAGCCCAAGCAGACACACACTTCAGTGGCACCACAATCGAGCAGCAAAGCACAGATCTTTATTGACATGGAGGCCAGTCTTACCCACTGAGACCAGGTTTCTGTAGTTCTCCAGCATCACCTGTCTGTACAGGGACTTCTGTTCAAGGTCCAGCAATCCCCACTCTTCCGGGTCAAAACCCAGGATCACATCTTCCAAAGTCACTGGTTCCTGAAACCCACAGGTTTCTGTTCAGCCAGGGCCTGTCATCACTCACAACGACAGGATGTGGGTGACTGAGAACAGGAAGGCACAGTCTACAAGACGACCTGAGCGCATCCCGGGGGAATCATCATGTGTTCTTGTTTACGACACTGAGCAAATCCAAGCTGGACGCTATTCAGGTCACAGCAAGGACAACACATGAGGCTGAAGAGGGTTCTTAATTTTCTGAAAACCGCCCCATTTCTTATTCATCTGGGGATTCCAACACTGGCGCCAGCGTGCATGTCTCCTCCTAGGGGATTCCGTGCGCTGAGTCCTCGCACCCAAGCCTTCAGCCCCGGAGCTGCCGCTACTTCCTTCCACTGCCAAGGACGCACCTTTCCTCCTAGCGCTGAGCTCGTGCCACCTCTTACTTGACGCGAGCTGCTGCTGAAATCTAAACGAGTCTGTGCGACCCCTGCTCAGAACCGTCAGAGTCTCCCCGGTTTGAAAGGTAAATCAGAGTCCCCGGTGAGGGCCCTTTGCAGTAAGCGCTCCCTCGGAAGGCTAAGCGGCCCGCGGCTCCCGCACCCAGCGGGGCTCTCGAGCCCGGGCCCTCGCCCTGCCCGAGGCTCTGGGGCCTGGGGCATCTCAGGGAGGGTGGCGACCCACGCCATGCGGCCACCCCCGCCCAAACCGAGGGGTGCACTGAAACTCAAAACGGCCTCTACTCACATGGAACCAGGCCATCGGAGGCCCCGAGGCCATACCTTCCTCTTCAACGGGTTCCGTGGGAACGGGCCGAGTCCTAAGAGGATGGAATCCGGGAGGTGGGGGCGAGAGGGAAACGCCGACAGGCCGAGTCCTCGGGCGGAGGCCCGCCCCCGCCTGGGAAAACGCCCAGCGAGGTCTCCACCTACTCCCCGCACCAAGACGCCCGCGGCCCCGGGCGACAGGAAACCCCCTCCCGCGTTCCTTAGGCGCCGGGAGTCCGCTCGGCTGGCTCCGGAGTTGGCCCAGGCCCGGGGGGTGAGGGGGCGGGGCGGCCCAAGCCGGCGGGAAGTTGCCTTCTTTCCGGGACCCCAGTCACCGACCACAGCGCCCGTCCGGGACCCGCAGCAGGAGGACTGCAGAAAAGTCGAGCACCAGACAGTCTCCGACGGGCGGAAGTTTCCCGCGAACTCACCCCGCGCGGCGCACAATGGCGCCGGTCGCCCCACGGCGAAGTGCGTCAGCGCTCGGGACCGGACTACAACTCCCAGACACCCCCGCGGCGCGCCGCGCCCAGACGCTCGCAGGCGGCGGCCATCTTGTCTGGCCAACTCTGGGCGGCCGGCGAAGCCAGGAAGAGGGCCCTCACTCATGTTCCTCCCCGGCCCAGCCGGGCACGGGGAGACCGCAGGCCAGGCCGCAAAGCCCCAACCCCTGGGTGGGCGGTGGCACAGGCCGGGAGACAGCGGTGCCCAGCCGGGAGGGTGTCCACGCGTGGGGCGAAGAGTAAGCTGGACAAAGAGAAGCAGCGGGGGAGAAGACTGCCGGAAGTGCTGAGTGGGTTAGAGATTGACGGTGGGAGGTGGAACTACTTATGAAGCCGTTGGGGGAGGATAAAAGGCGAGTAGGCCCGGAAGTGTTGGGGCCGCGGCTTCCTGCCGCCGAGACTCCAAGTGAAGATGGGTGGGGCGGGAAAAGGGCGGGCTGCCTGTTGGGGGCGGGGCTAATGTCCTCCCAGTTCTTGGGATTGGAGGAGGGGCTGGCAGAAAGCTTGGGGGCGAGACTATGGTCTACCTCGTTCCCGGAAGAGGGAGAGACGAGATTGACGTGAGTGCGTGGGCGGTGCTTCTACTTGTGCGCGCCAGCCTAATGGAGGCCAAGGGGGCGGGGCTGAGGGGGCAGCACTGGGCTGGAGGCGTGACTAAAACCAGCCGAGGTCTCGCGGGCTTTCCAGTGTGTCCATCAAGCGGGGGGAGGGA